CTTGGAGGGACATAGGGGACTTTACCCGCCCCCCCCCACCTCTGTGCCAGGGTGCTGAGTGGGCCCTTGCAGGGCTGCTGGGCCACACTAGATGTCAGCTCCAGCTCATTAAGCAAACGAGTCATTAGGGAAGCACTGTCTGGGGCACCCACAGAGTTTGTCTGGGAGGGGGTGTCACAGGGGGTGGGGGCGGCAGCACAGCACCAATGGGTGGGCACCATCCCCATCCCGCCTCCTGGGGACCGGGGATGCTGGGGCCAGCAAGCTGCCACTCACTGGGTGGGCAATGCCCCACACCCAGCTCCCTGCAGGAATGGGGGCAATTAACTCTGCCAAATACCCCTGGGGTGGGCACTGCCCATAGGACCCTCCACCCCGGGCCCACCTGTGATCCACCCCCACCTCCAGCTGCTCCCTGTGGGGACAGGGACCAGCATCTGTGTCTCTCACCTCCATGACAAACTGCCCTGCGTAGGTCCCGGTCATTGTGGAGCTCTGCCCCGCTGCCAGGATCCCGATGGCCCAGATGTACAGCGCTGCTGCCCCGAAATAGCAGCCCAGGATGACACCCTGTGCGGGGACACTCCCGTGGGCACTCCAACGTGTCCCCCAACCCCATCAGCTCCCAATCTCCCATCAGGGTCATGGCACCCTCCAGACCCTGAAGCCCTGAAGCTAATGGCGGGGAGCGCTATGTCCCCAAATGGGTACAGATGCCCTCTGGGCACAGCCCAGGGCCGCTCACCCCCTGGTAGATATCCACAGAGACCGTTTCGTTGTTGGTGGGGAAGATGCTGGCGTAGTGGCTGACGCTGCTGTTGATGCACTTGTTGTGCTGGAAGGCGCGGTGGGCATGTGTGACAGCCATCTGGCAGCCCCCAGGGACACAGGGGGGATGCCCCCCACATCCCAGGGGACAAGGACACCCGCTCTCCAAGCGATGCTCTCTCTGCCCATCTCCGTAGCTGAGCAGAGCCATCACCTCCCTATGGGCACGAGGTGACACTCACCACATCCTCATTTCGCTGGTGGTAGAAAGCCTCGCCGAAGACCGCCATGACGAAGAGGTTGATGAGGAAGGAGATGAAGAGGGCCAGGCAGGACTCGGTCAGGAAATACATGTTGGCCTCCTGCACCGCCTCCTTCTTGGACCGGTCGATGGCTCGTGTCTGGGCATGGCGGGTGACATGGGTGCAACGGCCAGATGAGCACCCCCATACTGCAGCCTGGACCAGCTGGTCCCCACCACGTGTCCCCTGAGATACCCTGGGATGGCAGCGCCCATGGCAGTGCCTTCACCTCACCTTGACCAAGGAGGAGTGGAGGAAGATATTATGGGGCATGATGATGGCGCCAACAATGCCCACAGCCTGGAGCAGCTCCTCTCGCCCGCAGCCCCGGCAGTAGGGCAGGAAGATACCCTTCAGCACCTCCGCCTGCCTCGGCCTCACCACCACGTACTGGGACCAGTGGGAAGAGGCACTGTGAGCTGGCATCCCCCCAACTGCAGCCTGGTGCCCGTGGGGACACCCTGCAGGGGTCCCCTGCCAGCACCCTGCAGGGAAAGGGTGTCCCCAGCTCCCCCTTCACCTCATAGCCAAAGGTCAGGGCCATGATGGTGATGAGGAGGCCAAAGAAAGCCTCCAGTTTGCGGAGCCCTAGAGGGGTTGAGAGATGGGGTGGGACAGGGTGAGGGGCACTGATGCCACATTGGCGCCAGGGCTGCCCGAGTAAGCGTACCCCCTGTCCCACCACTACAGCACTCACCGTACTTGTCAAGGAAGAGGAAGAAGAGGGTGTCCACGATGGTGATGAGGACCCCACCCCAGAGGGGGATGCTGTGGAATTGCAAGGGGGGGGCATTAGCCACCTGCCCCACAGCAGAGCAGGGCCACTGGGGGATGGGCGGTGTCCCTGGGGGGTAGCTCACCGGCCAGCAGAGAGCAAGCTGAAGGCAATGGCTGTGCCAATCACCTCCTGCATGTCGGAGCCAATGATGGCGATCTCAATCATGAGCCAGAGCAGCACTCGGGGCACCTGGAGAGGCCAGGGCACGGTGAGGTGCCCAAGCCCACAGTGGGGCACAGCCTCCAGGGTGGAGACCCCTGTCCCCATCCCCAGGCTGTGGCAGTGCACCCAGAGCACCATGGGGACCCT